GCTTGAATCCCGCCTCTGCCATTCAGGCCATGTGACCTTGGGCAAGTCACCTTCCTTTTGTTTGAGCCTCATGAATGAAAAAAGACAATGAATGTAAAGTGCTGAACACACAGCCCAGCACAGAGCAAGTAGTCAGCGTAGGATGGTGGTCACTAGTGATGCTGTTAATTAATTTGTTAGTACTGATGACTACGGCAACTCTGTGTGCCCCGACCTAATGAGTCCCTTGCTGTTGAACATATTGTTTTATGGCACGACTCCAGGATCCATGTGGACGCTCAGGGAACCCTGATCATTCAGGAATTGGCCCCAGAGGATACCGGGAATTACAGCTGCCAGGCTACTAATGAGGTTGGCACAGACGAGGAGACGGTCACCCTCTACTATACAGGTACTCGGGCCATGGGCATCTCAGGAGAGGACCTCCCTCCCTCCTCCCTCCCGTCCATAAATACTTACTGAGCGTCTGCATGTGCCAGGTGTTGGGGACATAGCAGTGAACACGTGCTCCCTATTCAGGTGGGGCTTGTATTCCAGTGGGGAGGCACCAAACAAACATGCAAGCAGACAAATAAAGCACTTTCAGATGGCAGGGGTGGTGCGATGGGTAATGTGCAGGTGGGGCGAGAGGGCAGTGGCTGTCACACACAGGGCCAGCCAGGGCCTCCGTGAGAGACGGGAGTGGGACAACAGGGTGCTCAGGGGACTGCCAAAAGGCAGAGTAGAGAGAGTGGGGTGCGGGGAGCAGGGGAGGGGCGAGCAGCCCATGTAGAGCATTTTAGGACCTTGTAGGGTTCCCGTTTTTATGGCAAGTTCAATGCAGAACAGTAAGGAGGTTTTAGTCCCAGGAGTGACTGGTTGGGAAGCTTCTTAAAACCCAGCTGTGGCTAGATCTTTCTGGGTGACTGTCCCCAGTTGGTGGGGGATGGGAGGAGGCAGAGTGCTCAGCCCCACCCCTATCCCCACTGCCCGCCTCTCCCCAGCTGTGGAAAGCCACCTTCTCATTCTAGTTTGTGGGTTGGCCCCAAGTTCCTCACCTGTTCCCCACACAGACCCACCGTCGGTTTCCGCCGTCAATGCCGTGGTGCTTGCTGCGGTCGGGGAGGAGGCCGTGCTGGTGTGTGAGGCGTCCGGGGTGCCCCCACCCCGGGTCATCTGGTATCGAGGTGCGTGCGGTGGGGAGAGGGGCCTGCGGAACTGTCCCACTGGGACCCTAGAGGATCAGCTTTCCAGAATGGTTATTGGGGGGCACTCAAATGGGGTGTGTGGGGAGAAAAGGCCCACTTCAGCAGCACCCCTCACTCCTCACCCCAGAATTCACACAGCTGACGCAGGAGGGCTCAGGACCTAGGAGCGGGATTGAATACTGGCTCCCCTGGGTGACCTTGGGCAAGTGACTTGGCATCGCTGAGCTGGCTCCCTTATCTGGAAAATGGGGAAAATCAAAGTTGGTTGTGTGAGAATTAACTGAGTCCACATATGTGAAGTGTTTAGAACGATCCCAGTACACGGGCTGGGCTAAGTGCTCTTAATGATGCTGGCGACAGTGATGTGGTTATCTGAGCATCGGGACTAATAGTAATAGGGTTGTCCCAAGGCTCCTATGAGTTAATGAATAGAGTGTTTTCTCTGTGCTGGTTGCCGAGGTGGAGTTTGATTGGCTGGAGCTGCTCTGGCGTCCACACCAGTGGACGTGGGTGCTTGGGGCTGTCGCCTCTGTTTTTCTGGGAGCAGAATGCTAGTCTCCTTGTCATATATCAGCCAGGGTCACCAGTATTGCCCCCTCCCATCTAGACATACTCCTTCCTTTGCAGCACCTGTCTGCGATCTTGTCAGAGCCTTTCCTTGACTTTGAGAAAGGCAGGTATTAACTCCAAGTGCTAGCAGGCAGCATTGGCTCAGAGTTTGAGCATTTTGTCCAAGGACACAGTTAGAGGGTGGCCAGAGCCTTGGGACCCTTTATTCAGTGCTTATGTCACTGCATCTTCTGGCTGAGAGCCCTACCAGCCCAGCCCTGAGCCCCTTTTTTCAATAGAATATTATTTACCCTTAAAAAGGAATGCAATTCAAGTTGTACAACAGTGTGAATATGCTTAACACCACTGAACTGTACACTTAAAAGTGGTTAAGATGGGAAATGCTGTTAATATGATTTTTACCATGATAAATTTTTAATTTGAAAAAAAGGAATGAAATTCTGAGACATGGATGAATCTTGAAAACATTATGCTAAGTGAAATAAGGCAGACACAGATGCACAAATATTATACGATCCCACCTGTATGAGAGACCTAGAATATGCAAAGCCATGGAGACAGGGAGGAGAATGGTGGGTGCCCCGGGCTGAGGGAGGGGGAAGGGGGGCATTCGTGTTTAACGGGGACAGAGTTTGAAAACATAAAAATATTGTGTGACTGACTCCCCTGACTCTGAACCCCTTTTTAAATTTTAGTTTAGTTTTTTTGTTGAT